CCGCTCCGTGTGCCCGGGCCGGGGACCCGCCTGTGGGCACGGGAATCACCGCCGCCCTCACGCGTTCGTGAGGTGGACTGGGAGACGAGGAGACTTTCACTGGTGGTAATATCCACTGCGGTCCCAGTCTGGAGGTTACTTAGAGACGCAATGAATGAAGTTCCTAACTTGGTTCTTGCTAGCAGTTTGAGTGTTGACTGTAGCCTGGAGGATCAGTTTACTAGCTGTAGTTCAGTGCAGGAAGTGCCCGGGAGCGGCAGTGAGGGGTGGAGCACGGGGTGACATCAGGCACTGCAAAGTGCAGCACCTTCCCTGAAGGCAGGAACCATGGCAGGAGCGCTGTGCCTGCCGTGCCTGCCTGCGGCTGGGAATGACCGCAGGAGTGATGGGCTCTTACACTCGGGTCATCTGTGGGAGCTTGCCAGTAGAGACACAGCCTCTGTTAACTAGATATTTCCCAATGACATGGGGAAATCTTAATTCTGCAGCGCCGGGGTGAGACTTGGAAGGTCCGGTCACTCATGCTCAACAGCAGGTGAATTAGAAATATCTGGAGTAGAGGCGGAGGAGTAGAGAGACCTCCTGTTGAGATCAGAACAGCAAGGGATTTCAGCAGGCTGAAAAGGCAGAGGAGGTTTTGTAACCTCAGAGGGGCTGAAAGAGCCTTCAAAGTGAGAGCACCGAGGAAACTCCTAAGAAAAAGAGAAAGGTGGAAACAAGATTTTTAGGGGTCTGTTGCAGTAGGACTGGGGAATGGTTTTTAACTAAAAGAGGATTGATTAGAGATGAAAGGAAGAAGGTTTTTTTTACACTAAAGGTGGTAAAAGCCTGGAGCAGGTTAACCAGAGAGGTGAGATATGTCCAACAGCTGGAAACATTGAAGGTCACATTGGACCTGGGGGTCTGGACAAGCTGGCCAAGTGGGAGGTGTCCCTGCTCGCTGCAGGGCTTGGACTAGCTGACCTTCAAAGGTCCCTTCCAACCCAAACCATTCCATGATTCAATAACAATGTTCGGACAGAACCATGGTTATACTTTATGGAAGTGTTTTTCTGACATGGCTGCCCAGCACAGTCACATTTCCTCAGAACACTGCATTCGGCTGGCACAGTGTGTTTGCTGAAGTTCACAATAATTGTCACTTTATCAGATCCAGGCCCTGCAAGAATCTTGTTTTGTGGGAGTTTAGGTCAGTGTCTTTAGGAAAACAGTGGAATTGCCTAGAAAATTACATACTACCAAACTATTCTTATGAAAGGGAAGAAAATGTTAAGAGGAAATGCTCCGGGGCAGATTTCTTAGAGCCGCAGGGCTATGATTTAGCAATTCCCTCAGTTACTTAGGTGACACATGTAGAAGATGGGGTTAATTCTGTATGCAGTTAGCTGGAAGCTTTCTGCCTCAGCACAGACACGACTTCTATTTTCTTAAGTGGAATGAAGATCAGAAAATGAAAAAAAATTGTATTTATGGAGTAACTTCTGTCATAACAGATTATCATGAAACTCATTCTTAAAGGATGCTTCAATAAAAAAGAAAATTAGAAAGCCCACCTGGCATTTGCTGTGGTCACATAGAGGGACCAACATGTCATTGAGTCAAACAAGACCTTGAACATCACAGGTGAGAGTTTTTGTACTTTTTTTACAAAGATTTTTTACACTTCACAAATAAAGAATATATATATATATAAATAAAGTTCTAGAATACCTGAGAGGTCTTCTGAGAGGTATAATTTCCTGAGAGGAAAAAAACAAAATATGTTTTTTTAAATTTCATATATATATATATATATATATATATATATAAAGAATTCTTTTCTATTTGATATTAAGTAACTCAACACTTGCAGAAATACTTAACATAGCTAATTTGCATGGCTTCTAGTTCAAGGGAAGTACAGCATCCTTGTCAGTACTCTCCAGTTTTTACTAAAAATATCAGGACATAGAAATTAGCAGTGCAATGACTACCAGGGGTCTGAACACTGCCCAAGTGAACCTTGCTCAGAGCCAGCTTAGTTATTCTTTTTGCAGACCTTAGCAGGAGCATTTTTGTGTTTCCAAGGTAGCTGATATTATTAACAACAGGCAGAAATATTATGAATTTTTTTTTCTCAATGACATGAACGAGTTGTGGTGCTATTTGAATCAAGCTTTCAGGGCTTTGCATTTTTTATGAGATGAACAAAGGTAGGATTTCAGCTGAGGGATTCTTGTAGTCATGGCACTCTCCAGAGTATCAACTGTTTCTGGTAAGATCTCTCCACTGCTGTCACAGTGATACACAGCAGTAGCACAGGCTCTCTATTATCTCACTTCCATTGGGGAGCTTGTTCTAATGTGACTTATTTTGATGCTGGCAGCTGGCATTCAGTCACAAATTACTCTGCTGTCACTGTTCTCACTGTTTGGTCATCACTGTGAGTCAGGGCCTCACTTTTCTAGTCCCTGTGCTAATATCAAAGGACCCATTCCTGCCTACAGAAATTGGAAGTCCACCATAACAAAACAAAGCATATAGGAAAAGGATTATAACACATTTAAATCTGTTTTTTTTTTTCAGCTGGTGGAACTTCATATTTTTTATGTCCCAGCAGAAGTATGGAACTTCAAGCTGAATACAGTTCCTGTAGCTCTTACTAGCAAATTTGTCTCAGCTGGATTTATAAGGTGAGTGTAGCTTTAGGTTTCATGTACGGGGTAGGTCCTTCACACTGGTCTTCAGTCTTTTAGTCCAACTGTTGCTCTAGAGAGCACAATTACATCTGTCAGCAGAAACTTGTTGTCTAATTAAATTTCTGGAGGGTAAGTGGTGACCATAACTAGCATTGTGTTAATTTTTACTGTATCAGGACTTAGCTCCCCTGCAGCCCATGGTGCAGACCATTGAACAGCACTTCCAGAGCAGTGCTAGTACTTCTGCAGAATGATTTATACTGTAAAATCATATCTTATATTCTTTCTGTCTCTTTGAGCCTGATTATCAAAAGCTGGAATTCTTTTGGGCAATGGGCCAGCTTCAAGACAGTGGCTTGATGAAGACACGATAGCCTGTCAGTTCCCAGGAACAGGGATATGATGATCTGAGCTCTCTCAGTCCAGAGGAAGAGCTGAAGCCTTGTTTCTCAAGGGGAAGCATTACAGCCCATGAACCAGCAGCATTTCCTCTTTCTTCTTGAGGAGTGAAAGGCTGAGCATACCAGGTAGCTGCTTAAAGAACTTAGTGAAAGAATACCTTGGTTCCCAGTCCTAGGCTCAAACCTGGCACAGGGAGTTGAATTTTTAACCTGACATAACTTTGTAAGTTTTATTTATACTCCTAAACACTTTGCTCACAAAATCTGTGTGTACCTAGTGTGGTAAGAAGCTGTAGAAAAATTAAATAATGTAAAGATGTGTATTGAAGTGGAGCTGTTATGTGCACCTTTTCTACCCCTGTGCAAAACCTGTCAATTTAACTAAAACCACAGGGAATAGAGCTTTTAATTAATTTAAATTGAGTTTTGTATTATACACTTAATATATAGTGTAGCTGAAAAGACTGACAGCAGTCAGGTATGAGCATGTAGGGCAGAATGTATTCATTCTCACAGCTGCTGTTGTTGAAAGGCTGCTCAAAACCAGAGAAAATAAATGCATATACCCATTTTGTGTGCTGTTCTAGTCTGCAACAGAGGTGCAGATGTCTGAAGTGGTAACTTCATTTCATGTCATGGACATCTGTCACTGTCCTATATTTTCTAGTGTAAATTTATTTCACTGAAGCATCAAATAAAATTAGGATCCCCACTGATTTTAGTGGGTTTATATATGCCTGGGTATTGTTACTTGCTAATGACTCTTAGATAATTGCTAATTAATTATTCTATGGACACTATGCAATGCTGCAGCACATTAGCATGAACAATGACTAGCACCTGGACAGTGACTCACTGTCTTTAAAAACAAAAAAATATTTTTAAAAACTTCTTTTATTATAATCTAGGAGAGGGAACGGCAGCCTTGCTGGTGCTCCTGTGGTTTGGACGTTGTTGATAGCTCTTTTGTTCAGTCAGCTTGACAATCCTAGTGCTGTCTGAGTCAGCTTTACAAAGGATTCCTAGGTCAAAGTACAGGCCACTTCCATTAGCTGTGAAATTAGAGGAAGATATTAAAGGTGTAATTTTCTATGGCCCTGAGATCTTGTTCCCATGAACTTGATTTCTCAGCCTTTGTGAGATTTTTTATTTTTTTTTTATTCCTCACTCCTCACCACAGAAGCCAAACTTTTATTATTTCTAGATGAGATAGCTACTAGGAGCTCTAGTTTGCATTCCTTTTAAAGGGACACCATGAAGCAAGTGACTTGTGTGTGACTGTTTTCTGCCAGCCAGTGGCAGCAAGTGACAGACTAATAGCATTGTATTTTCCTAGCAGCTTCACTGGCAATTACTTTTTAGATAAATTTCTGCCCTGTATCTCAGGATCTGGATGGCTAGATACTTTTCCCCTGTTATACATTGTAGATGTGTCCACTCTGCAGACTTTGGTCTCCTCTGCTGCCTGCCTGTGCTCCAGGGCAGTTTCATGATCTTGAGGAGGGTCCTCTAAATCCAAAGTATTTGAAATAATACAAGGGAAGCATTGTAGTACTGTGTTCATGAGATGAAAGTGATAATGTTTTTTCTACATACTTGAGTTGTGAGCTGAAGGCCTATAGGGCTGCTTGCAAGTGCAAACAAACCTTGACAGGTTTATGTTGAAGACCTGTTCAGATGGAAGACCTGGCAGGTTCTTGTGTGTACTGTTTGCTGGGAATGGCATGTGCTATCCCCCGAGCTGTGTCTGTGCATTGCTTGAGGAGTGAGAGCTGCTTGGGCCAAAGTTATCCTACCACTTAAGCAGCGTGGGTGATTAACAGTCTCAGGCCTGCATTTGTTCCCTGGTTTCTTATATGACAGCATAGAACAATTAGAATTGCTTATGCTGTGCTGCAGGGCTTTGGTATGCCTCTGGCACATTTGGATTTATTGTGCAGAGATGCTTTTTATTCTGTAGTGATTTTCCTACTGAGCTCATTATCTAAATGTTTGCATACTTTCAAGTAGTGCATTAAATGATGCAATTCATATTTGTATCAGCATTCTCATCCTCAAATCATGGTGGAAATGTTCACACTGTAGTGTTTGTTTTTTATTCAAAATACATTTGCATGCACCATGCACACACCCAACTGTGAATTGGTGTTGGAGAAGACAAAAGCAAAGGAATGTGACAGCTGCTTAAAGTGGACAATGATGAAGGCTCCTCTGGCCCTGGGTGCTTGAAGGGAGTGTTCAACAGTCCTGGTCCAGCCCTATGAAACTGTGTCACTTCCATGGAAGTGCACAACTGTTGCTTCCAGTGGTGGTGTTATTCATCTGCAGATGAGCAACAGCATTCTCAAGAAGTAAATTTCAGATTTTGTCTGCTTCCATATTCTCCCTTTGTATGAGGCTGCTACAATGTGAGTCTTGCTAATTAATGTTAGGACAGCCTTTATAGTGCAGTGTTCTGCCTGCCTCGCCAAGACTCTCTGGCCTGTCTGTACCTGGGTTCAGTTCTAGGACATAGCTCCCAGTTTTGGGCATTCTGTCTGTGCAAACCAGCACGTACAGACCATTATCTTCCCCCTTCTACTAACTAGCCATCATTATTTGATCTTACAGATGTATTAATGAATGACAACATTCTAGGGTGTCTCCTCACATCACATTAAGATTGCTGCGGGAGAGGCTTGGAGAGTACCTGGGTGGAGTGACAAATGCAGATAAATTCAGATTTTTAAAATGCATTGGGAAAAAACTAGCAGTGGTAAGTTAATTTTTTTCTTTAGTGCTCTTCTGTTTTATAATGTAAGGTAGAGATTTCATTCCTGCAGATGAGATAATATCACATAAAGATAACTTTAGGAGCACTGTTAGCATTTCTTTTAAACATGCTGCAGCATAAGCTCTTGTCAGAGCACATCTGTTTCCTCAAATGCAAAGGCACAGCTGAACAGATATATCAGAAATAACCCTTTAAAGCAACAGCTGTAATTAGTTGCCATCCAGTGAAAAGATGATGGTTTTGATCAATCAATGGATGAAGTATAATAAATCTAGTTGTGTTAAAAAATCCCCAGATGCATGAGGCTATTATTACCTGTACGTGGCTGGGAATATGGCAGTTGGCAAATTTGCAATGGAAGCTCAGTCAGAGTTCCTCTAATGGCTCCTGCTGTGACCTGCCCAAGAGTGTTAAAAACATCATTCTCTGAATGAAAACTTCTCTGGATGTTCCATTGTCTAGTCCAGTAATACAGCTGAGATGTTAGTAATAAACCCCCTAACTGAATTGTAGCTGCTCCTCACATCGATTCTACGCATAGATCTTAAAAAGTATAGCTAAGGATTAAATAAACTTCACAATTAGTCCAACTTAAAGTTTGTTCATGTAATACATAAAGATTTAAGTTATTTATGTAAATATAGAATACTTTTTCCATGTCTTATTTCACCCCTTTCTCATGGATTTGGAAATTAACTACAAGCAGGAAATTTGGTGCCATTCTTTATTTCATTTCTAGTTGAATTATCACTAAAATCACTCTCACAGAAGACTAGACTAAATACTAAGTAATATGCATGGAAAAACTTGAAAAGAAACTTAAAAGACTGTGATACAATCTAAATTGCAAAGTATGAATATGTTTTCAATGAACTGAGGTCTTTTTAACTGGATGATAATAAGAAAGATGGTTAATTTTCTTCCACACATAGTTTGGAGATAAATGGAGACATTTTCCAGCCTTTATAATGTCAGCAAATGAATAAAATATTTTATGTTAATACTGAATTAAAGATACTGGTAGCATATAAGAAGATTTACAGAGACAAAGATATAGTTTTACTTTGAGGTATTTACTGTTGCTTGATGTTTAACTTTATAACAAAGTTTAAAACAATAAACCAATTGCTTTATTTGTTGTTTAGGGTCATGGTAACCTCATTGAATTACATTTCCATGATCAAATATTTGTTGAGTGTTCTCTCCCCTTAGTCTTCTGTTTCACAACTCTAACAATGTAAGCAGTTATGCCCTACTTGCAAGCAAGGGTCTTTTAATGAAAAGATAAACATAGATTAAAGTCATGTTCATTTGCTCTTCCTTTTTTTGCACATAACCTGTGTGTTTAATTTAATATAATAATTTGAATGTAAGCTCAGATTTCTTTTCCTTACATTAGAACACATCTTTCAAATATATATTGACTATTATAGGCTTTCTTTTTAGGACAACTGTTGAAATGTGAAAGTGTATGTCACAAAAAGAATATGAAGGAAAATGATAAATACAAGAAGACATAGGATAATACTAGTTTTTTTCCTATATACACTAAATATTTTGCAATGCTGTATTAGGTGAATAGAGAAAATTATGTGGGACTCAGCATTTCTGTCCAGATTCAGCTTGAAGCAGCTCTTGATAAAAAATTTGAAAGTTTTCTTTTCCTGTGACTGTTGGATCAGGTCCTTTGAACCATAAGAGAAAGTGCAAAGGGTAAAAAAACATTTAGTATGTGCATGTAATCTTGTGGGTCTGATTAAGATTTTGAAAAACAAAGTTTCAGAACTATGTCAGAAAATACAATTGTAGTCTAAGATGCTTTTTCCCCATAAGACCACTACAGATGATAGTGCTGGTTATAAAAGAGTGCAGTATGTAAAAAAGACAATGGAATGCATATGTCATGTGCAACATTCTGATGAAAAAGTATTGTATTTGTTATGCTTCCATACTTTATCTTCCGAGGTGAAAGCAAAGCAGGAAACAGAACTGGAACTGAAGTCATTTGCTCCTCCTTATGTAAGTACTGAATGGCTTGTAAGGTACCATTCTCAGAAACTACATTGCACATTTTCTTTGTCTGATGAATACACTGTATATTTTCAGGCACTTTATCCTGAATTATATTTATTACCTGGAGTGGAATATTTTGAAGATGTTTATTCATTACCATCATCAACTCAACAAAAACATCACGTTATTGAAGAAGCTAATAGGTTTGGTCATGGATCAAGATTATCCAGCCTTTCCCAGCAGAAATCTGAAAAAAGCAAACCATTTTCAGAAAGTATACAAAGCAGACATCAGGTAGAAAATCTAGAAGTGCGCTGTCCTGTGGAATGGGGTGAAAAAGAATCTCTTCCAGTTTCACACACAAATAATAAGCAAGACAATAACAGCAGGATTCCAGAAACACAATTTGGAGAAAAAGGTAAGCTTAACCAGGATAGTGAAGGAGGATGATGAATGAGAAGAAAAATAAATATTATGGTTAACATTTACAATAAAATAATATCTCTGTTTTATATTATCGATTATTATGCAGATTGAAGTGGATTTGATGGATCTCTCTTCATGCCAAGTCATTCAAATCCTGCAGATCAGGAGACTGGAAAGTGTGACCTGGTATTCCAGACCTCTGATCTCAGCCAAGATCAAGAAGACTGCAATGCTCCAAAGTGGAATGGCAAAGCCAAAGGAACTGCTCTTTCTCATGTAAACCCCAGTGACAAACAAAGCCAGGGTAACTAAAGACCCCAAAATCACATTAAATATCAAAAGTGTACAAATGTTTGTTACTGACTTTTTGCTAAAGCAAGAGTTCTAGAAAGTCAGCAAAGTAAAGCTAAGTTTTAAGAAATCTGTAATTAAGTGTAAGTTGGAATAGCACTATCAGAACAATATTCCATTTTTTTTAAAAAATGATATATTTCAAAGAGATGTAGTGTTACCTTCTGAGTCCTTCATTATCACTGTGTGCTGAAATAGAGAAACACTTTACTATAGTTGATGCATTTGTCTAATCATCAGAATTAGTCAGATATAAATTCTAACAACAAAAAAAACTTTTTTTTTTCTTTATTTCTTTCTTCTGTTATCCATGGAACATTTTCAAATTCTGGAGATAACATCACTTGCTGTGTTGAGTCACTGAATTTCCAATACAGGTTGGAAAGTCCAGTCATTGACAGTCAAACCAGCCTGATTTTTGCAAGTGTAATCTATGTATTTTTCTCATCACTATCCTGTCACAGAACTAGGAAACATGGAAAATAATGAACACCAAAAAGATACCAAATTAAGAAGAGACACAGGACCAGGATGCTGAAATTCTTAAAATAATGGAAGACCAAACTACAGATTACGTCCACAAAAAACAAAGGTTAGCAAATAATAAATCTTCTAAAATAATGGATAATATTAATTCACTGATACAAACTTACTTTATAGACTTCAAATAAATGAAAGAAAAGGAGGGAAAAAACATTTTGGTCAATGAACTTTCACTTTTTTTTTTGGTTTTATCTTAGCTTGCAGCAAAACAGAACTAAGAAGACTAGAGCTGGTCTTGGTGAAAAACTGGATAATCAGGTATGTTTTTCAAGGTAACATTCCTAGTAATTTTGAGCAATAAATGTAGTCCTCCACCTAGAAACAGTCTAATTTTGTAAGATTGGTGACTCATAGATAACAAAAGATTTGAGGAAATTCGAGAAAAGTTAATTCATGCACAGCTTCTTAGCAGATTTTCTAATGAATATCAGCTATGTTTCTAAACAATTAAAACCTGCAATTACAAATTTTAGTTTAAAAATTGGCAGTTTTTGATAATTAATGAACCAGGTAGCTGTTTTAAGGCCCTTAGTTCCTGGTCTTGCATGTGACTGTCAATAACTTCTGGGGTTATGGACATGGACAAGAGCAATAGCATTAGTCTGTATGTTCTCTGTGATGCAAATGTTCAGTGTTCTCATTTTGTTTGCAGAGGTCCAGCTGTTTGTAATTTAGTAGTCATGTGTACTGGTAACAATGAAAAAACCTACCTGCAGAAGTCAAATTCAGCCCTCTCACTCAGGCCGCTTTCAGGGCATATGTCTAATGTAACTATCCAGGATTATGGTTATGTATTTACAGTTGTGTCTTTTGACTCTATAGGCAAATGAAGACAAGCAAAATCATCTTTCTTGTCCAAAAGGGTGTATTTCACCTCCTAGTCCACCATTTTTGGCACTTACTGTAAATCCAGCTCAAATTCCTGCAGTTCCAGCAGCAAGTGAGTACATGATTCCAAGAAATTGCAAGGAAGTGAACATTTAATCAAGACTGAAGAGTCAATGAAGACATAAATATCTACACTCTACATACATTCATTGACACTATTGTTACGGATTTTAATTTATAATTAGAAAATTCCAGGTACTTATGATTGCATGGGCTGTCCTAGGGCTTGACAGGTTCCCGGCACTAAAAAACTCAACTTGTCAAGTTGTGGATGGAAGGAGAAAAGGAGGGAGATCGGGTTCAATACTGCAGGCTCAAGTGGGATTGTAGCATAGAAAATCACAGGTAGTGTTGCTGAGGAGCAGGATAGTGAGAAGTTTTTGACCTATTGTTGCAGACTAGGGGAAGTCTGAGATGTTGTCCTGCCACCTGGAGTTTAAGGCAGGATTTCTCTACAGTTTATATTGCAATGTATTTTAAGCAGGAAATGGTCTTATGGAGGCTTTTTTGGCTTCATTGGCAAGAGTTTGCAATGTCTGGAGTGAATGTATTTCTTGATTACATAGTTTTAGTGATTTATTGTCCAAACACATAGAAAGATGTTTGTGTGTGTGGGTGGGTGAATGCCTGGATGCCTGCTGGATTTCTCCCTTTTGCTAAAGCACCAGCCCTTCTGAAAAGTTAGATTAAAATGAAACCTGATTAAAATGAGATAGTTTCTACTGCTTGTTCTGCCAGAGCTTTTGGCATAATTTGTGATGCATTACAAAAGTCTTGACTGATCCTTTGTACTTGGAGTATTCAAATGCTTGCTAAATATAATTGTAATATCTTTAGAAAACAAGATGAACAAGACGGTAGAAGAATTGCACATGGGAAAAACTAGAGAAGAACTGATCAAAAAAGCTAAAGGGCTGCTGGAACAAAATAAGCTGAGGAGATACCATGGTAGGCTTTTAATTTATTTTGGAATATGGAAAGATTGAAAAATTGAAAAATTTCACACTGAAACCAATGTGAAAGTATTTGTCTCTTTGTCAGTGAACTTAATTACAGAGAGAGCAGTTTGCTAACCAATAGCTCCAAGAATACTAATTTTGTGTAATAGCATGCAAGAAAAATTCAAGGGTTCAGAGAGCTACTGCAGGCTGCTTCTCTCCAAGGCCCAGGGCAGCTGGCACATTCTAATCCTGCTTTAGCTGATGCTTAGAGGCTTGTACTCTGTTGATAGGGCTTCAGATAAATTGCAGCATAATAATTTTTGTTCCTCCTATCCAATGGTATTCAGCTTATGACATGGAAGTTACAAAACATTTGTGACAAGCTTGACAAACCTTGTTTTTGAACAAGGTCAAATCTCATTGAAATCTCTCATGAATTTTCTTCCTAAAATTATTTTCAAGTTTATACTTAAAACTGTCTTCCCTAAATCACATCCCAGTTATACAGAGATGAGATTTAATAATTTTGATGTTTTGAGAGCTTTCTCTTTGTGATTAAATGTCATTACAAGTCTCAAATATTACTTGTAGCTCATTGAAAGGAGACATGCCAGTTCTTTCAGTTGTTCTGTCAGGATGTGGCTGCACAGCACCCTGCAGCATGGGGAATTTGTATTTAAAAAACCCCAAACATGGGTGCTTGAAGCAGTAAGTCTGTAGTAGAGTGGAGCTGCAATTCAAGCTAGAGATAAGCCCTAAATGGCACCTGCTTTGCCTTAAATTATGCTATCCAGTTGGGTAAAATAAAGGTTATTTCACAAGGATTAAAACAGCTTCTGCAGGTTCCATAAGAAGCTTCTGTACCTCTGAATTTTTTTTCATCAGACCTGGAGAGTTTCATAAGTAAGGGCAGGTAGCAAGCATGTGTCTTTGCAAGGTATTAAGGGAAGAGCATTTTCTGCAGGAACAGCCATCCAAGTCTGTGTTTTATATTCTCCTAAGACTGCCATGCTGACAGGCACTCCCAGTTACATGGCATAGAGTCCTCTAACAGCTGAGTTCTTTTGGGTAAGTTTCAGTTGTCTTGCTTCCATAAAATATGCCTCAAAACGAGGGATTCATTTAAGACACTGCAGGTATGCAGTGGCCATAAGACTGCCACAACACCTTCAAGGGCATTTATCTACCAGCTCTTGATAGCACATTAACAACATAGGAGGCATCATGGTGAAATGTAAAGGTAACTATCTGTTTCCCATAATGTGGGATGTCAGTATAAAATGAAGCTGTTCAAAATCTCTGGCCAAAAAGAGCATAAATTTTGCCTAAATCTACAATGCTACATCTTCTGGTACATTAGAGCTGTGGACTTCATTCTGTGCTGGGCATACCAGTTTTCACAGGCCAGGAGTGCTTAGGTACAGCAGAACCTGCAGAACAGACAGGCTGAATAAAACTTTGGACCCTGTGTTTTACTTCAGTAGACAGATGGAGCCTTTTGTTGCAGGTGTTTGTGTGAAAATTCAGTTGCATTTAGAGTGAATGTAATCTTAATGAAGCTTTTTTAACCAAATGCTTATTTTAAAGAAACCTCCTGCCATGTTTCAGTGTGTGCATTGGCCAGCTGAAGCTTGTGAGGTGAGCTAGTCATGATTGTCTTCAGCAGTCCTTTATAAAAAGGTGAACAGGACCAAACACTGGTATTGTTTCCCTGTGCAGTTCGTGAGGAATGGAAGAAAAAGTACTTTCAAGCTAAGAAAGCTACAGTTTCACTGGAGGACACTTCAAAAAAACTGCAACAAGATTTAGAGCTTTACCACCAGAAATTGCTCTTGCAATTGGAAGCTAGAGATAGCAAAAAACGACCAAACAATACAAATAAATACCTCCAAGGTATTTATTTGTATTATTTATTACCTCTTTTTACACAGTCTGAGGTTTATTTGTATAAAATATAAATTCCAGAAAGAAACAGATTTATCGCCAACCAATGACTTGTTTTGTAAACTAGCTTTAGCTCAATGATCTGAGGAACAGAATTCCTTCAGGCCATTTGTCTCAAAAAGACTGCAGAAGTGCTTGAGTCTGAGCCTTTGTTTCTTTCTGCTTTCTAGTGGTACCTTTTTGTAACAAAATCCTCTTCTGTTCAGTATGGTTAATGGATTGCTCAGTTCTACTTCGTTTCTATCATCCAAGATTTCATACAAAGAGGCAATGCATGTTCAGAGCACACAAAACATATCTGTAGCTTTTGAAGTGGTTGCACTTCAACTATTGTGCAACTTTGAGTTTCACAGTAAGTTCAAAGGGATTAAAAAGAAAAGATAAAAAAAGGAAAGATAAAAGGAGGAAACACCCTTTCCAACAGTTGAGTCTGCTGATTTTCTAAATGCATTAATGGAAGCAAGGCTGTTGACAGAACTGAAGCTAGCCTAGGAAAAATAAATGTCCCTTTCTTGCATCTGAAAGGTATGTGCATGTACAGTCTAAGAGTGTATAGTATACAAAAATGTGTATTATTTGAGCTACCTTGAAATATCTACAAAATACAAATATGAATAGGGTTGACACTGCCTTACTGGCTATGTTCAGACACACTATTGCTCTTTTTGAGGGGCATGGCAGGGGTGGGATTTTTTGGTCTCTCTGGCTAGGCACAGAGAGGCCTTACATGAAGGATATGTACAAGGCACCATTCCTACAGAGTTCTGTAGCAGCCAGCACCCAGAGAAGGGAGCCAGGATTTACTGAGCTGTTAGGCTGAGCACACGGTGCTCCCCACCCCTCGTGAGCGACGTGCGGCCAGGCAGGCATCAGTGGGGTGGGAAAGCAGGGGAGCTGGGAAGAGGTTGTTAGAGGATTGTTTCTGTGTGGTGAAGTAACACCCAGTGAGGGAATGGATGCACTAATGCTGCACTTCAAGTTTTGTTGTTGTTTCACACAGAATTACACAATCATCTGGATTGCTACAGTGCAGCATGAACTCGATCAACTGAGAAGGAAGCTAGATGATACAAAAATGAGACTCCTAATAGGAATTAAGGTATTCTGCCTTTTAATTAAAACAGTCAAAATGTGGCAACATAGAAAAAAAATTAGAACTTCTCAATTATTAGATGATGTAAATATTTGCTAAACAGTTCTCGTTTTATATTGTCAGTTTTAAGGTGTTAGGTGTTGTGGCTTTAGCATTTGAGCTAAATTACTCCAGAACACCAGGTTATCAGATGATTTGGAATATGTGGCATTCAAACAACTTAGATACTCAATGTGCTGTGTAAGCTAAGGTTCACAATCTTGTTCATAGAATCCCCATTTCATTCAAAAGGTAATTGAAGAAATACACCTGGTGTAGTGAAGCACTGAGCAGTAATAGATTATGGCTAAAGAAAAAAAAATGGTATAAAGGAAAAAAAACCCAACAAACAAAACCAAACCCAAAAAAACCCACAAACAAATGAAAGAAAAAAAAAAAGCTAACTGTCTAAGTAGATGTCAGACCTCTTCATCTGCTTTATTCCATTTCCAATGTTGCCTATGACTCTTCGTGGAAGGAAGAGGTAGTATAGGCTTTCACACTGAACAGCTTTCCAGCTCTGAAAGCTTGAAATAGGAGTGTTCTACACCACAGAGACTGCCCATACTCCTGTTTACTGGGTACTCCAGGGTGGTTGCAATCATTATGAGTCCTCTGTTGTTTAGCAAGGAGTGGAAAGAACAATTAATTTTGCAGTTGTCTCAAAAACATCGAGGCAAAATACAGAACAAAGTAGTGCTAGAACACATAAAATTTCAAAGATGAAAGATGTATCCTGTATTCAGCCATCCTGTATAAAATTCTCTCAGTTACATACGCATGTCAGCTCCAAAAAAAGCTTCCTTAAATTGCCATTCCTTAAATGATGGGTTCTTTTGCAGATGAGAAAGCAGGCAGCATCTGATTTACGAGCACTGAGAGCGGAACTGACACAGAAGAAGATTCATTCAGCTTTAATTCTCCAGTCCAGAAAATCAAGAATTTAAATAGATGACATGACTAACCTCTGTGAAGTTGACAGCAGCTCTCTAGTGTATGTAGAAGAGAATTCCAGAGCATTTGTTTGTATGTTCCTGAAGTTATTTTGTAAAAAGGCAATAACTATTTAAATGTTGTGGAATTTGTATACTAGGCTACTGAGGTAATGCAGCTTACTTCTTTTTAAATCTCACTGTAAGATTAGTCAGCTACTTAAACATACAGTTTAAGCTAGTAACATGTCTAAAACTAATTGTGTAACATCCTAATGGTATGCTGAAGTTCTTTGATGAACTATATAGCTACTAAGAAATAAACCTAAAGTCTGTAACCTCCTGTTCTTATTTTCAGGCTTACATATCCCATTTTTTAGAAATTATTAAAATATGGTTTCTGTAGAGGTACAACAGTAATCCTTTATTTGGCTATTTACTGGAGTATGTTTTTGCCATTATAAATATGCCTATCTATAAATTACCAATGTATCATTACTATATGATTATGAAGCATAAACAAAATACCTTTATTCCATATCTAGCTGGTTTTGCTCCCTCTCTTATTAGGAAAGGCACAAGGACATTAACTGTCTTCTGTAGTCTGAAAGCTTGCCTGAAAGCTTTCTCTTGGACCAGTATAATGATGATCCTGTTCAAATTTAAACTCTTGCATATTCTGCATTTCCTTAATTCTAAGGACATGCAAGTCCTGAGATAAACAATTCTCTGAAAGAGGCATCAGAAACCTCTCCATAGGAATTCTTTTCTAGCTCTGCTGTTTGCCTCTTTCCAAACCAGATGTTATTATATTAAGCAGAAGAATAACATGCTAGGAATTAATCTCAGCTAAAAAGCTGTCAAGGCTGTATTTATTATTGGAAGTGAAACACTCATGAGAAATAAGTTATATGATAAGAAAATTATGCAGCTCTCAAAAGAACTAACTTGGCAATGTCTTGAGTCAAACCACCCATTATCCAATTTATTTTCTTAAATATATGACTTAACAAAGATTTTAGTGCTAAAGGATTAAATAAATTATTAAAACTACACCCACTTTTGCTTAATTCAGGGTTGAAGCTCACATTCTCTATTTAAGAATTGTGTCTTATTTAAGATACGAGAGCAGGCTACTAGCTACTGGAAAATCAGAACCTAAATTTAAAATATAGTATTATCAATTCATGATTCTTGACAGCTACAGGAGAGTTTTATTATTAAGTCATCTGGCCCTCAGAATTTTGTAGGTCAGATATTCATACCAGAAGACTCTCAATTCAGCAATATCCATCTCACAGTATTTAAGCATTTAAGTAGTAATAGACATTCTGTAGTACATTTATGTGTGTAGAGATAAATATATATAATATATAAAATGTAGCAGTTTCTCTTAAGACTTACAGAGTGGTGTTGTAATGAAAAGCCTCCTGATTCATTAAGGGAATTTTTTAGTTTCTGCACGAGCAGTAGGCTTCACCTTCTGCTTTCCAACACCTATATCACAATATCAAACAGACAATTCAGATGAAATCTTCCAGTCTTTTCCTCAGTAGCCATTATGGTAATGCTGCCCTACTGTGGTAACTCTTTAGCAAGCAAAAAAACCCAAACAAACAACCCAAACCAAACCAAAAAAACCACCAAACCCATAACTGACTACATCTACTTAATTAAATAAAATTTTTAATTAATGGAGTCACTTAAGCAGGGCCCAGTTGCACTTTGATCTGGTTGTGAACCAGTTCTGAGAAGCAGACAAGCAGTGTGGGCTGTAAGCTGTAGAACAAGTAAAGCACAGACAGGGAACATTGTTTACAAGTTTTACCAAGAACAGCACTTTATTTAAAAAAATAAAATCCCGTAAACACCAGTCAATCTTTACATCACTATAGGTATTTTAAAAACTTACACAATTTCTTTAGGCAAATGATTTTATGAAAATATGAATTAGAAAGGAAACAATCTCCTATTATCTCAGAGGCAACACCCCATAAAAACAAATAACAGGCTACTGAATGTATCTTAGGGTGTCTGGAAAAATAGATATACAGTTCATTAAATAAGCTTCTGAATTCTAATTTTCAGGAAGTAAAGTAGTTTGAAATGGAAGGAAACATCATCCAAGCCCTCTTCATATTAATGTTTCTTCTTCAAGCTAAGGTCAGAAATTTTTGGGTTTTGAAACTAAGGAATTTATGTGATACATAAAGACAGTGAGACTGGACTTTATTGAATATTCCTTTCTAACAAGTTTGATATAAATCTTCACAGCAACTACTTTATGTTATGTAATTTCTTCAGTCCATAAAAATCTTTTAATCTAGAAGAGTAACCAAGCTGCATATAATCAACATCTGTCTCTCCAGTATTCTGTTTAATCTGATTCTAGAGTGACTTAGCTAAAATATTGGTTGGGTTGGGAAGTCAGAAGGCTGAGACAATCATGGACCACAGTAATGAATATTTCCTGCACCTGGCAGCTTTAGCAAAGCATCATTATGAGACTTCCCCTGTAAATCCATCAGTTGGACTTGTTACCAGATACACACTGGGTTCAAGCATTAACTAACTTAGATTAACTGTGAAAAATTTAAAAGACCAGCAGTCTTAAAAAAAAACTACTAATGCAAGGATTGTTGTTCCAAAGCAACATTGGAACTTTCTGAATAATGAAAATATAGCTTTGAATATAAAGAACAAGATTAATTTGCCTAGCTTTTAAAGTTTTTGTAATTTTCCTAGTTTTTAAAGTTTTTGTAATCACAATATATTTATATAAAGTCAAAATCCATGATAGCGTACACCAAAATAAAAAGTTACCAATTTTCATCATTCTAAATCAATGGTTCACATAGTTCTCATGGTGTCAGAGCTTGCCACATTGCTTGAGTTTGTTGTTCTGCTACTGCTTCCCTGGAGTAGTCAAGACTATTTCCATTCCACATGCCAATGCCCCTTAAGCCTCGACTCTTCACATATGCTGCTTTTAGAGAGATGCTGTGAGGGTCATCAAACCATACCTGGTGGAACTGACCAGCAGAATCCTAGAAAAACATTTAAACACTAGTGTCAGTGATTACATTTTCTCTTGAACACAGTTAAAAATACATTTAAAAACTGAGATATACAAGCTATGCATATTTATATAATATTTTCCTGATTTACCAATTCTTTGTCACACAGGACAATTAAAAATTTTAAGCCAAATACTTGGATATTATTTTTTAATTGCAGAATGTAAGTTATAAAACAGTGACACAATTTAACTGGAGTTAAAGGCTTAGCTAATCTGTATTTTAATATTTTTTAAAATAAAGTTAAAATTTCAGATACAGTATCTAAGCTAAGAGGTGAATTTAGTTAGAGACTGTGGGGGTTTTTATGCAATAAACAGTTTGAGAGGATGTTGTAAAATTTTATGAAGGTTATGCTGCTTTTACCTAGTCATTGGTTACAATATGTTTTAATCATCAACATGTGAAACTTAAATAATGTCTAAAGAAACTAGACAAAATGGATACACTGTGGTGTTCTTGTAAGCACAGTCATTCATGGACTCTTTCAGTGTGTCTATGTAGAAAACAAATGCAGACGAGAACATGCATGCATGGCACTGAGCTAGACAAAATTAAGATCATCTCAGAATCTTTTTTAGTTTAAATCATTTATCAACTCATTAAGGTAACTAGAGCAATGAAGGACATAGTTATAGGATGTCTTTGTGTCAAAATGATGCAGTATATTGAGAAGACTGGAAAGTAATAAAGATCTTTATTACTCCTGTAGTCTTCAGGCACTGCACCCCTCTCTCAGACTAGGAATTCAAGACAGATTTCCAGCAATCCTTTACTATACAAAAAAAAAAACAAAACCAAAAATCCCCCCAAAACCAACAAAAAACCAAAACCCAACAAGTAGAAAACATAGAAGAATCTAATCCAAATAACTTAAATAACTTTATAGTTAAAGATCTATGGTTCATGAACGCTTACTCCACACCACAGTGTCTTGGAAAAAGACTCTTACCTTGTACTCATAAAATGGAGCCTTCTGTACCTCATCCCACAGCACCCCTGAAAGAGAACTGTTCACCTGCTTCATGATGGTTGCGTAGGGCACCTGGCTCCCTGCAGCATCGCTGCAAGGAGCCCCACGGAAAGGCACTTTGGGGAGGGAACAAACATGATCCTAAAAAAGAAATAGGGAGGCATGAGTTTCATGTAGGATATACTGAACTCCAGAATAGCAGCACAGCCAAGAACAATTCACAAAAGGCATTAAGGCCACAAAAATTCCAAATCTTCAAGCAACTCCAGCAGACACTATTTGTAGAGAAAAGCAAATTAAAGCAGCTAAATTTTCTTTAATCTGCAGTAATACAGGACTGGATGGATATCACTGAGCTTAAACAGTTATCTTTAACTGACCCTTACATTTTTCCTAAGTATAATATTTGAGACCTCATAAACTGCTATGCTGTAACAGTTGTAGGTTTGCTATGGTTTGTTGCACCTGTCTCTACAGTGGTGTTGAGAAGGCACATACAAGTGTTGTAGGGCCCGTAGACATCATCTCTTCTCATACAGATAACACTTACAGTTCCTTAGTCAAACACAGTGTTGGATATGGGGTTCAGGCTGCCTAAGGAGCTAAAATGCCTTTTCTGGTAACACACTGCTCATCAGTTACCAACCAAGCAAAAGACTGTTTTCTGTCACAGCTTGATGCTCTTATCCATCAGACCACAGTATTTCCTAGTCCAAAAACAAGATTACCAAAATCTAGTTGTATCTTTCTAAGGAAAAAAATTAACAGTTTGATTACAAACAAATAATCTTCACCTTACCGTGGATAGGTTTTGGCAGACATAGTCATAGCCATACCAGGGGACACCCATCACAAGTTTCTTAGGATCAATGCCCATAGCAATGTACTCTTCATATCCTATGTTTTGAGGGAAATCAAAATTAACATGCATTATTAACTTTTCTTATGCTTTTTATTCTTACAACTAATTCAGAGCCAGAGCCACTGCAGAAGTTGCATGATCCCCAGACAGAGGCTAAGGTGCAAGGCACCTGCACTCTCTAGTGAGTGAAAGGCTTGCTCCACTGAGATCCCACAATAACTGCTCTAGTTGCTCGCACTTTAAACCATCTGCCCTGAGCAGAGATTCACAAAAATGAGAGAAATGTTTCAGGTTCTTTGTAATCTCAGGCAGACACCATTGCTCTGGCTGCTATTTGTCATTCTAAAAGCGTTCTTGGCACTCATGATGTTACAAGTAACAACACACAACTGCCTGTAGGCTCATAAGGATCAGGGATACTGTTTTCACATCAGAACAACACATATTTGAGGACACTCAAAGCCTCATGGCAACAAAAACAAAATAAACCTGTCTAAGAAAAAGGCAATCTTTGCTATCACCTTATGTGAACAAATGGAAATGTTCTGACTCCTGGGGAGGTGTTTTGTCCTCACCAACTAAAGTCTGCAGGTAAGGAGCATTGGCTTTTGCAATGCAGTCTGTCCAGATCTGGCTCTGTTCATCATATGACATCACAAATAAGAAGTCACAGGCATCTGCAATCCCAGTGTAGTTGTAACACCTTTTATCTATACATGCTGGAGACCAAGCCACATCAAACGTTACCTGAAGGAAAAATGCACAGCTTAGTATCAAGCTCTTTTTTTTTTTTTAAAAAAAAAAAAAGCTATAACTTTTAAAGACAGTATTTCCCAAATGGTGCAGTTTAACACATCTTGTTAACAATGACCTATAGGAGAAGCTGCTCATCTGATAAACAGAAGATATTAAAGTGAGTACCTCATTAGTGAATATATAGCACCAAACAAATTAAAATATAATATGAAAACCACCAAATATATGAAACATGATGCAAATCCTGAAAACTTTTGTGATGGGTTTACCAAAACACTGTCAAGCTTTTGCCCCAGAAAGCTGTATTTGTCCTACTTTCAACTATTCATTAGGACACACTAAAAACTGGCAGCTCGCACATAGCAGTAACATTGTATCTTCAAATCTCAGTGAAGCCCATCTCTCATTTAAATTCACAAAGTTCAAAAAGAGTGATTCTTACAAGATCATATCACAGCTAACATTCATAATTAAGCATTCACTAGAATATTATATTCAGATCTTCATAAACTTTTTTCATATTCATATGCTAAACAGCACTGCCAAAAGTCCTTACATTTCATAAGGTTAAATTTAATGTTTGTATAAAGTACATTATTATCACCTGTGATCCAGCTATTTCTCTGTGAAAAGCATCTGTAGTTTCTTTAACAAGCTCTGTCAATGCATAATACTCAGGGGAGGTTTCATTAACTTCTTGCTCTATATCTATGTTAATTCCATCCATATACTGTTTTTTGGCGAGGTCCACCTGTTGGGTTATCCATGCTGCTCTTTTAGCAGGATCAACAATTTCCTTAAGAGGTACATCACCTAGACAAGAGGCCTTCAAGAGTTAGCATGCACCACAGCAGTAGTAAGAAGGAAAAGGTTGTTGTTAATTAACCAAATTTAAACAATATAAAAAATGCCCATACCAATACTGGTAAAATACAAAGGAATTCACTTTTCCCCCAAGCATAATTTT